CACTACGAAGAGGTTTGAGGTTAATTACAATACTTATCGAAATTTGGTGAAGTGTTCATTTTAACTAAGGAAATGTTACAGGAATAAAATTCCGAAACACAACCGTGTATGTACACCTAGAGGGATTGTTAAAGGTGGACCGGAATGAAAATTATGAGAAAAAAAATGGTGAGTGAGAGCAAGAGGAAGTGCTTTAGGAAAACTTAATTTCTGAAACGTAACATTAATGTCCATAAAGGCAAAAGTCGTCAGTCTTTACATTTTACCTGCTGTGACATGATCGGAAAACATGGAGATCGACAAAAAATATATTAATTTTTGTATAATCCACGTTTCCTTTATTCTTTCAATGTAGTTCAAAACATGCACCTCTCCATGCGCCTTGCTTACATTTCAGCTTTTGTTCTATCAGACTTACTGTGAATAAAAGTGGGCTTTGGCAGGACACATACCAATAAGGGATGCTGGCTGATGGGGGCGACTGGTGGCCGAATCACAACCAAACGAACGAATACACCCATGAAGATGACCATCATGGAGAAGAATGATATGAGCGCATGTAGGAATAAGATTGATTGTGGAATCACAAGACTGGCGGTGGTGGTGATGGCATTGGCGATTGCAGAATGTGCAGCCCGATGACAATACAACCCCTTTTCATTTACACATTCAACACAAATCTTACCACTTCATTAAGAACATGAGCTCGCCACTGGAGTCTGTTGCACCAATAATTTTCTCTGGCTCCAGACCTCGAACAAAGCCCTTCGTCTTGTTATCCTAGATAGAGAAGCATATAATGATACACAAGATGACCTGGTCTACCCTGATCTAAACACAATGAGTGTCAATACTCTTTAATACTTGATGGCTATTGCACAGTCCCATTTTTGTTTTGCTCCAGGGTAAACTTATGAGCACGGACGATGTTAACCGTGGGGCAACGCTCCTGCATTTTATAAACACGGCGCAACTTCGGGGGCAGAAACTAACATCTGCCTGGTGTTTCTTGGCCTGGACATCGCCATCGTCCTCTCTACTGGCCGCTTTCCGCTTGCCGTTGTTGCCCTCGGCGGACACCTCGCACTGCTTGCCGCTGCCTTTCCAGAAACTGGTTGATGAGCTCTGGACAGTCGAGGTTGTCTTCTGGCTCCCACGTATTCTCCTCACTGTGAAACAAGTGCTCAACAAGGTCATGGACATTTCGGGGAATGTTGCTTGTTGCAGCAATATGTCATGTTTAGAATAAAATATCTCCAACAAGGTTTATGACCAGGTAACAGTTCACTATACGTAACAAATCATAACAGGATCATAGAAATATCATACAGTTGCGGCGCAAATAGAAAGCTGGCTTGATAATGAAAAGCAACTTACCAACGTGCCAAATATGAAAGCTTTTAATCAGTGTATATTACCTGCTATGACACATGGGTCAGAATCACGAAAATTAATCAAGAAAATTGGACAAAAATGCACAATGAAACATGCTTGGACATACACTGCGAGAGAAACAGGAACACATGGATAAGACAACAAGCACAAGTTAGACACATTTGCGTGGATAGAATATGCTGCTCAAGGAATGATAGCAAATGGTCAAGACTGGCAATGGAGTAGCAGTCAATAGAGAAAGTGCGCCTTAGAGTATGTCCACTGTGAAGAGCTATGAAATCGGCTCGTGCGCAGATACTGGGTGGATTGTTACATCGTAGGCCGTGAGAGATGGAGATAGCTTGGAAAAGCCTGCAGTGAATTGTCCATGGACGATGATAGCCATTTGAAACTTCCATAATACATCTGAAACTTCCATTTCATCTGAAACTTAACAGTCATTACAGGGAGATCTTAATCTTGATGTCCACACAACAAAACACACTTAGAAAATGTTTCCTTGTGAGGAGATGGAGACTTTTTGGGGTTCAGCTCCCCACCGATGATGAACTCACTCTGTGAACCCCTTCCACTTGAGTAGGTACTCCACCTTGCCTTTCATCACCCGTCTGTCCAGCACCTTCTCCACCACATACTCCTCCTCGGGCTTCTCCTCTTCCGCCACAGGCTTCTTCTTGTTCTGCTTCTTCCCCATCCTCCCTGTGGCTTTTGAGTGAGTGCGAGTACACATGCGTGAAAACGTGCGCGTATGTGCATATATGCACATAGCTGTGTAGGAGTCAGCATATCCAGAAATTAATTTCAGCACTATCCAGGACAATATACCCGCATACGATAGAAACTGCACTACAATCGGTAAACCTCACGCTACGCCTGTGGCTACTGGACACGTCCCTACACCTAGTGAACCAGGGACCTGGGAAAAATTGAGTGAGCAATTAGGCCCTGGTTTCATATGATCGCAACAGAATTTATGTCCTGCAACTTCAGTTGCTAATAGGTCTATGCTCGTTGTCTTTAGCAACTCGCACTAACCAGCATTACGAAGTATCATCCAAATAAATCAAGACCCGCTGGGAAGGCCCTTATGCATCTGTAGATTGACAAGTGCCATACATGTACATTAGTACAGTACCATTAATGTTGGTGCGCACTTGCCCTCTGCTGCCAGAAGTGTAACTCCGAACCAATTCATGCGATATCCCGGTTCATTCATGCTTTTCTTCCGAGATGGGAAAGCATTTATGAGTTGATTTCCTCCCGAGGCAAATAAAAGTCACCGTGCGAAATTTCCATCTTAACTCTCATCACGTTGCTGGTGCACTTAGACGCATACACGTGCGGGCAAACTGCATTGTAACCGTGAATTATAGCACGCACTGAAATACAGTGTGACACTGTGCATAACAAGCAATGCAGAGCTTTCTCACACTTAATGCACAGATGTGCACCACCGCAGTCCATAATCCGGTGTCCGACGCTGTAGCTGTTAAAATATAGGTACGTGCATAGAATCCACATGAACATTCATCGCTGTGTGGTCGCGAGAGCCACTATTTGACCACTTTGTGAAGTCAACAACAGATGGTGTGTGGTCGTTCGTGCCATGTGTTCAACATACGTACAGTAACACGCGTGTGCACGCTCCAGACCAGGGGTCGGGAACCTTTTTGACTGGGAGAGCCATAAAAGCCAAATATTTCTAAATATATTGCATTGAGAGCCATATAGTATTTTTTACGTATAATAAATTAAATATGTACCACTTTTAATACGACTTCTGGTGCTGCATGGTTTTGCTGATGGCCTTGTAGTCTGGTTCGTACGTGGTGAGGTTGAGCTTCATGCAGGCGTTGAGGCCCCGTGACCCGTGAAATTTATCTTCAAAACTAATTTCTGTTTACTTTAAAATGACACAGTATTATTAAGCAATATCACAAGTATTTTAAAATCAGTTCCAAACTGATTTTTTTATTTTTTTTTCAACTCAAAATTGTCTGGGAGCCATATGCCGTCACCAGAAGAGCCATATATGGCTCGCGAGCCATAGGTTCCCGACCGCTGCTCCAGACCCTTTCGCACAATCCACTGCTGGAGGTATTCCCCACACGCCGTGCGGGTCGTGGGGGTTTATGATCATTATTTAAGCCAAACTTCAAGTGCAGATTTGCTCAAGGTGGGAAGCGTGTTAAGTCACGGCGGAATCTGCACCAATGTTCTCGGGACATTGCGGTGAACGAGCGCCTCTCCAAAATTGACTTTTTCACAAATCATTTTACAATTATGCCGATGATTGTGTGTGTGTGTGTATGTGAAAACGAGACAGGAGCTGCCTCCAAAACTTGCCAACAGATGCCGATTCTGTCAGACGTGGCGGCGATTCGTCCCACACCCCCTTCTCATCACCCCCCGGGCTCACCACAGACAGACACCGTTACAAACAGCGGCAAATACCGCTCGCTACTGCTGCTACTGCTACTACTGCTGCTACTACTGAGCCTGCTGCTGCTGCTACTATTGCTACTACTGCTGCTGCTCAGTCTGCTGTTGTTGCTGCTGCTACTGCTGCTGATCAGCCTGCTGCTACTACTGTTACTCAGCCTGGGGCTGCTACTGCTACTACTGCTGTTGCTGCTGCTACGTCTGCTGCTGCTCAGCCTGCTGCTACTGCTACTACTGCTGCTCCTACTGTTGCTACTCAGCCTACTGTTGTTGCTGCTGCTACTACTGCTACTGCTCAGCCTGCTGTTGTTGCTGCTACTGCTGCTGATCAGCCTGCTGTTACTGCTGCTGTTGCTACTCAGCCTACTGCTGCTACTACTGCTGCTGTTGCTGCTCCTACTGTTGCTACTCAGCCTGCTGTTGTTGTTGCTGCTGCTACTGCTGCTGCTCAGCCTACTGCTACTGCTGCTGCTGCTCAGCCTGCTGCTATTGCTGTTGCTGCTACTGCAGACATAACAAGGCACCGGCGGCACTAACTTCGCATCGCAATTTGTCGTGACTGACGCTTGCGCGGCCTGAGGCAATACGTCTAAGCGTGAGAGAGAGAGAGCGAGCGAGTGTCTGTCGCGCCGCCGGTACCGTTGTGCTCTGGCCGCAGGAGTTTAACGTGCAGGGAGGAGGCATCGTTACCGTGCACACGCGCCCAGCGGAGACGGATCGGCGCTGCAAAGTGTGAGCGTCGGGAGGGGGGGGAGGGGAAAGGGGTGGGGGGAAACGCCGCTTCCGCCGGATGTGACGTTGCAAAACGGAAACCCAACCCCCCTCGGAATTTAAAACAAAAAAAATGTATATATTTTTTTAATTTTCTTTCTGTGGATTTCACACCTGATGAGGATTGCTTGTGTTGCAGTCGAAACGTCGTGAGAATTTTTAATGTTTTATGTTCATATTATTTTATCATTTCCCTTCTACGTGATTTTACCGAAAGAACCAAGCATATAAAAATTGTTATATATTTAACGGCTGTTTCTTTTAGTTCATGCGTCACTGAGGCGAACAATTTTGAAAAGATCGCGATCACTTTAAAACGGAGGTTTTTTTTAAAAAAAGATTAGAGGTGGGGTGGGGGGGTGTACCGGGGGGGGGTTTGGGTGGAAATAAATAAATTAGTGGGCACGCGACCGGCGTGCACCGCGCGCTGCAAATATATAAGGACGGCGTCCATTTTAGCTCCACGCATTCGGAGGTGGAATTTCTCATTCGAAGGTCGTCGTTTCAGTGATGCCAATGGATGTGAGTACAAAGATGTCGCCACGTCTTTCGCGGCCGCCTCGGTTCTTTTTTCCGATGGGTCGGCGAATCCCCCCCCCCCTCCTTAATTGGCGTGTACGTTGCGCGAAATGCGTCGGGGGTTTTTGTTTTGTGTGGTTTTTTTTAGTCGATGCGTAGGGGCCGCGCGTCCAACATGGCGCCCGGGGCTGCACAATGAGGGGGGGGGTCACCACGAGGGAAGGGAGCGTGGATGACGAAGCGATATTTAATTACGCATTTTTAAGCTTGAAGACCTCCGTTAGAATGGTGTCGACTAATAGGTTTCGTGTAGTGGTTAGCGTTTTGGGGGGAAACTGCTTTTATTTTTTATAAACAACAGATTGAAGCGATGAAAGGGCGCGCGCGTGTTGAGGCCTCGCACGTAATGGCGGGAGTGGAGCCTGCGGTGTCGGCGAGATGTGGCGCGCGTTTTTTTTCTCTGCAAAATTATTAACGCGGTCGTCTTTTTTTGTATCGAAATTAGCGCCACGCGCAGTGATATTTTGTATTTGTTGTGCCCGTTCGGATATTTGTGCAGATTTTTTTAAAAGTCATTTTCGTATCGGCTGCATGTTTTTTTTTACAATGAAAGGATTGTAGTCGGCACTTGTAATTTAATTTGTACGTTTAAAAAATTATAGGTACAATTTTTTTCATTCATTACGTCTTTAAAAATACTGTTAACAATATTAGTCTTGTATACCGTTTTGTGGTTGCGCATTTTTTTATTATACCCGCATCGCTTGCCGCAAAAAATACAATCGTGAGCAGGAAATGAGCAGTAGAAGGGACATTTAAGAAGCCAAACGGCGGACGCCATTGTCCGCCTTGTAAAAAATATATACCTAACGAGCCTCTAAAATAACAATAGATGTGTTAATGCTGTATGGGTTATTTTGTAAACTATATTAAAATAGTAACCGGATTTACGCCCTTGTCCACAGCACAACGGAGATGAACAACAGCGCAAGCTGTTTATCGGTGGCCTCAGCTTCGAGACCACGGAGGACAGCATGCGGAAGCATTTCGAACAATGGGGCACCCTCACAGACTGCGTGGTGCGTATGATGTTTTGCACGCATACAACACCGCGCCGCGCAATGATAATAATAGTGTGCACACCCTATTCTGAGAACGTTGTTTAACGAGTAGGTGTCACGTTCCCCCCGTTGTACAGGTGATGAGGGATCCGCACACAAAGCGGTCACGTGGCTTTGGGTTCGTCACCTACACGTGTCCCGAGGAGGTGGACGCCGCCATGGACGCAAGACCCCACCACCTGGACAACCGCGTGGTGGAAGCCAAACGCGCCATCTCTCGCGAGGTTTGTCCCTGAGACCTCGGTGGTCCCACGATTGTCTTGAGTACCGGATGATCGTGAACATGACTCTCAAAAATGGGTGTCTGTGAACATGGGCGTCTGTGAAAAGGCGCTTCATAGCTCATCGGATTTCTTCGGGATGGAAATTTTCAGATTCTGAACATTTCTCCTACCATGCTATACCACCACCATTGGCTGCTAAGAAGAAAGTAAAGTGATCGTAAGATATCCTTGACATATCCATATATGTATCACACTGGAATAGCTTTTTCGTGGAATTCCCCACGTCTTTTGTTTAGCACGTAAACCGTACGTGCGATCTGGCTGGGGGGGGGGGGGCTTTGTTGGGGACTCGTCGAGGTGGCTGCCCATTCGGATGTTTGCCAGTCACCTCTGTGCTGTGCACAGGACTCCCTAAAGCCGGGAGCACACCTCAAGGTTAAGAAGATCTTTGTTGGAGGGATTCGCGACGACACGGACGAGCAGCACCTGCGCGAGTACTTCCAGGTGTACGGTGATGTGGAGGCAGCGGAGGTGATGGAGGATCGTTCGACCGGCAAGAAGAGGGGATTTGGCTTCGTTACGTTTTCTGATCACGACACTGTGGACAAGGTCATCGGTGAGTGGCTCTAACTTCACAAAGCTCCAGGCGTACACAATTGCCGCGTTATGGTAACATTTTACACATTGGCGAGGTGCATTATGAAGATTGGTATGTAATCTAAACTGGTTTTGTAAAGGCACCCTTTGTTGAATTTAACGTTCTTTAAATACTAATTACATGTTGAAGCCCTCCTTGAATTTTCTATCGTCTCCCCACAGTGCAAAAGTACCACACCATCAATGGTCACAAGGCAGAAGTGCGGAAGGCACTTTCAAAGCAAGAGATGAACTCCAGTGGAGGCCCCAGAGGTACGGCATTTGCACGACTCGCAAACGTTCTAAATTATTGGAACATCGATTTGGGACAGTGCTTTGTGTGGTCATAGATTAACTGTTCACTTTACATTTGCAGGTGGAAGCCGTGGAGGGAGAGGAAGCTATGGAAGCCGGGGTGGTGGTGGTGGCGGTTATGGAGGTGGGTATTTTGTGGAATGCATTTTCATATTTGGGCCAATGGTATTTTTGTAAAATGAATGTTTTTTTTAACTTGAGCAACTTTCGTTTTAGGTGGCTATGGCGGTGGTGGATACGGGGGCGATGGCTACAATGGATATGGTGGTGGTGGAGGTAAGTGATCCATAAGTGTTTGCATCATGTTAAGTTGAGGTAGCAAATCTACCATGTTTTTGTATGATATTTTTTGGGTCTTTCGAAAATAACAAACTACGTCATCCTCCTGCAATCACGAAAGCTTAGTCTAGATTTTTTTGTTATGGTGTTTATACAGGTTTTTGAATATTTAATAGGCATGTAAAGAATCTACCATGTTTTTTCGATCGTGGCTGTGATAACTTGAGAATGTAGCACTTTGGGTTAGCAGGGTTTACATAACCTATTGCACCCCATGCAATGAAAATAATTATTTCTTGATGTGAAGTGAGAAAAAATGCATGCAATTTACATGCCTAATATTTGAATATGCAGGTGGGTATGGTGGTGGTGGAGGAGGAGGGTACAGTGACCGTGGAGGCTCCTATGGAGGCTATGGCAATCAGGGAGGTGGATACGGAGGTGGTGGCGGAGGAGGGTACGACAACTATGGAGGTGGCTCTAGCTACGGTGGTGGTGGTGGTAAGTGCTGCTCATAGAGCAAGTTGGGTCATTTGTATTCCTTAAAAATGTTTGCTTCTGATACATCTTTCATTCGTTTGGTTTATGCAATGCCTTCACTTTGTTAAACACGTTCTAATTTGGGCTTTTTTGTTTTACTTTAGCAGGTAATTACGGCGGTAGCAGTGGGGGGGGTTATGGTGGTGGAGGTGGTGGGGACTTTGGCAATTACAATCAGCAGCAATCAAGCTATGGTCCCATGAAGTCGGGTGGTGGCAGCTATGGAGGAAGGAACTCGAGTGGACCTTATGGTGGTAAGCTTTAAGGCTTTGCTTTAGTTCTGTTTCATGAAAGTCTTGCAATCCACTGATTGTCTACACTTTAAAAATGTAATGCTTGGTACACTTACATTTTTACCCTTGCCCTCAAAATTGGCACGACTATTGGTTTTGTGACAGTAATTGATTGTACTGACCCCCGTGAAGGTGGATACGGTTCAGGTGGTGGCAGCAGTGGTGGAAGCGGTGGCGGCGGTTATGGTGGTGGTGGTGGCAGCGGTGGTGGAGGAGGACGGGGCCGATACTAAGTGATCATGGCCATGAAGGAAATCCAAAGGTGAGGGTGGCTTTATAATGCTATTCGCACACAATTGACAATTCACACAATTTATTATTTGATAACATTCAAAAATATTTTATATTATGGCTTTTACAATAAGGTATTTAATGTATTGGCTTGCTACAAAGTTTTTAAAGATCTTTAGATTAATTTCATGTGCTGCAGGCACAACTTGAATCATTTTGCTTAATTTATAAAGTTTTAGTGCAATTATTTCAACTGTTTACAGTAAGTTTCCTTTTGACGCAATATTTAGTGCACAGCTCTGCAAGCAATACATAGCCTGGTATAATGTTATTCACTTGTTATTCTTCATAGTGTTTTTGACAGCTGTACGTATGTCTACTGTTCTATTCCCACATCCAACAGGCCAGTGTTTTAGCCAGGAAGAGCCGAGGTTGACAGGACAGCCTCAGATATGTGGGCTCAGCAGAATCAGCACAGTGCCCCAGAGACTGCTGAGTGCAGGCGGGCGCAAGCCCTGTAGCCTGTCCCCTTAGCACCTGTACATTGAGTGAACCTGTATGTGACCTGAGTATCTGTGCCTTTGTGATTTTATGGCTATGTAGATGTGACGTGCGTTGTAGAAGCTGTTTGATTAAAGGAAAACTGTACTTTTTTTTGAGCATTCCACATTTATGAATAGTGGTCAAACTTTGTGTATTATTTCTCTTTTTAAGCATTTTGTACCTTTTTAATACTGTACATTGACTGTGCTTATTTAATTTAGTCTGGCAGTAATCACGATTTAGATATTTGCACTTTGTGCAGCGGTCATTAAATTTTTTTGCTTTGAAGTGTTTTAGGTTTCTGAATTTTATTTGGAAAATATGAAAGTTTGTGTCCTGGTGAACTGTATACATCGAAAAGTGCATCCAAATTTAAACGTATTTGCAAAACTTTGTTATCTTGGACTAAGTTATGAAATTATTTTGTAAACATTACATAAAGTCTGTTGGGCCTACACATGGTGTACATTGTTTTTAAATACATTGTCTAACGTCTTCAATGGTTATGGCTACAATACAGCAGCCTTGCTTTAATGGCAATAAGGTTACCATGTCAATCATGACATTTTAAGCGTTAAGTGGTGCAAGGCTTTTTAATAAGCTTTATTATCACTTGCTGAAGCGAGTTGAAGCCACTGTACATCTGCAATCTTACCACATGGCCACAATCTGTAGAAGCCTTTCAAGCAGCCCCCCATGCAGCGAAGGTGGATAAGAGCATCGATCAACTTAAAAGCAGCAGCTTTTGCCCAAGCCCTCAGCTTCAGCCAAGACTTACCAAGTCATCAGCTTCAGCTTCCCAAGCATCGAAAAACGCCTACACTACCAGTGTAGATTACTTTCCAGCGTTTTTGCATTAAAGGTGATTTTTTTCTATATGAACATGCCAACATCCAAGGAGTTACAAAGGAGAGCACCAGCTAGGAGAACGCGTAAAGGAGAGGCTTGCTGAGAAGACCCTTTACCGCTACCTTGGCTAGCTACCAGCTGCTAACTGCTAGCTACATGGGGCCAGCTCAGGGTAGCGGTGTGGACCAAACATTATCTGGATGTAGGAGCCTGACGCACCCTGTAGGACAGATACCAAGCGGTATGTAGGTAAGACCATTTACTCGGTATTGCAATCCTACAATTTACAATATTCTAGTATATTAGCTTTTGATGTTTTATATTTGTTAAGACTTGGGTGATTCCCAGTTTATTGCGGCAAGATTTTCACTTAAGTGCGTTTTTTAAAGCCTTACGGGGTAGGGTAGTTAATTGCGTAAAGTTTACACATTGGTTTTTACATGCACCTGGAACATTATAGACATTTATGGAAAGTGGATTTTTTTTGTTTTTTACAAATGTAATATCTTTGCAGGTGTGGAGGGTGGTGACTGGGTTTTGACATGCAGGTAAGTATTGACTGACCTGGGAGTGGCGGTGAAAGGTATGGTATGTAGTATTAAAAAGAGTCGAGCTTGTTTTTTTTGTGGCGCCTGGCCTGCAGTTTCTCAATTCCTTTTGAGGTCGAACCGGTTTAGCGAGGCTGTAAGGTGTGGTAGGCTTGGTATGGTGTAGAAGCTAGGTTCGGTTGTGCAAGAATTGCACTTTAGAACTTGGTGTACAGTAGGTCATTGAGGCGGGCAGTGACGTGTGGAGAGGAAGGTATCACCTTTAGCTGTATTAGCTCTGCCTAACAAGCTATCTGGTTTTCCATTTTGTGCAATTGAGACTGGGCATGCAGATTGCAAGTCTTGTATTAAACTAAGGACCGGCACTTTGAAGATAAGGGTTTAAACTTCCATTGATGGATATGGAGTGCAGTAGCTAGTTTTACATGGATGTTGAAGTGGTTTCTGCAGAGTTCTAAAAATGCAGGATCAATGAAGTCTTAAGGTTTTGTGGTTTAGGTAAATATAAGGATGTCTGAATTGGTCAATGGGCCATAGTGCAACGTTCTGGGTAAACTTTTTTAGAACGAGCTAAATTTCCAGTTCTATACCAGGTTTTTGCCACTTGGTAAAGTTTATATTGGGCTAACATTGCTTAAGTGTAGACATGCAGCCAATCACTGCTCCATTAGTGATTTAAAAGTTGTGGCCTAAGGTTTTAAAAATGCCAGCTGTGCTGGAGTTATGAAATCGCAAGCCAGTTTTGGTGCAAACGGTTTCAACCCTTGGCAGCTAAGATAGCTCATAACTTGAAACTTTCATAACTGACCAATGGTATGGCAAGTGGGAAAACTGGGTTGTGACTTTTTGCAGTGTCATGTTGCTGTTTTAGGAAAGACGTTTGAAAACGTTCTCCCATCAGGATTTTTAATTTCAAGATTGTACATTTTGGTGGCCATTTTGCCCTAGTGAGTTACATTTTCTGAGTTGGCATGTAATCTTAGTCGAGCTATTTCATTTGAGTTGAACCTTTAGTACAATATAGGACGAACATTATTTTAGGATCAATTTGGCTACCAAATGGCATTTTACTGATGTATAAAGCTATTTTGCACGTTCTGGCCTTTATGTTTACAGATACCATGTATTCACAAATGGAATGGTTGATATCGTGAGTGCTGACTGCGATTTTGAGATTTCAGGTGGTCATCTATTGGCTGCCATAGTTGTCATTCAGACTATTGTCAATGTACTTTTCCCCCAATACAGGTCGAATGTAAAATAATGGTTGTGATAAATGAATGAACTTGAGGCCCATGCCAAAATCAAAGATGGTCACAATTGAAAATGGCTTCCAGAAATTAACCTTTTTAATAAAAGCTAATTGGCAATAGATCCTTATCGAGGATGCTTATAAACAGTTTGGAATGTTAGGGGACTTTAATTGTTGGACAGCTCATTGCTGTTGGATTCTAAGTTGTCTAGGGCAGGGACAAGTTTTCAGTTTGGGGTATTGTGTAGTTTACTAACGTTTAAGGCAGCTTTCTATGATGAAACGGCTTAACTTTTCCAAGCGTTCAGAATCTACGTTTTTGGGATTTCAAGTCTTGTATTTATTTTGAAATAAACTTGAACCTTCAAAATGGTGTTGCTTGTTTATTGACCCAAACATTCACAGCTGTTGATCTCAAGTATCAATTTAATGCAACATGTCAAGGGTTAAGTTTTTGTACCAAACCACACTGGCCTTGTGGCTTGTGCATAGGCACCTGTGAAGAGTGTGGTAACCAGGTGTGCCTTGTTCAAATTAACTATCCAGCGTCCAGCCCCATAACAGCACAGCTCTCCCATTGGCAGCTTTACCCTCTTTTCTGGGTTGGTGCTGCACTTAAGTATGTCCAGCAGGTCTACACCAGTCTGCACCGGCTCAACACCTGGGGCACACCCCAGTGAGATGTGTGCCCTGCTGCCCCTGGGCAGATTGGGAGCTGTGCAGTCGGTCAGACATGGAGGTTGGGTTTGCATGGTGGCGTCGATGTGGTTGGCCAAGTGGCTGCTGCAGTCGTTAGGATCCCACAGTGCCATCTGCGCAGCAGTGAGTTGCACGCGTGCCCCAACGGTACGTGGTGTCACGAGCAAGGCAGTCACTTGTAGCATGAAGGCGTGACCACATGATTCTTGAACGGCCTGCAGTGAAGGACAGTATTTTAGTGAATGTTCAGAGACATGAGCTTAAGATTTTTGTTTTAGTATTTTCAAATGCATGTTTAATCAACTGGTTTAAATCTATTTTATGATTGAGATATGGGCCTGATTTCCATGTTCTCCCCCTGTTCTTCATGGCTTCCACTAAAAAAAATATCTTAAACTATTGCAAAACCTGCAAATTATAGTAATATTACCCCCTAATGCAAAAACTTGGCAGGGCCTTTGTGAAAATGACAGGCTCTCCTGGATGATTTACCTATTCAAATTGTACTGTCCTGCAACAGCACGGTTGCACATTAGCTGATTGAACATTAATGGTAAGGGATTGAGGCACAATTCATGAAAAAAAATTCCTCCTGATTGCTTGTAACCTATCCGTGACTTTACCGGAAGACTCAGAATCCAATTAATTATCCTGAAATTAATTTGGTAGCACCTACCTGGTTTGAAGCAGATGTACCACCACTCAAGAGTTGGACCATAACACTAATTTGGATGAGCTTAACGTTGCCCTGGTTGAAGTGAGGCTCTCACCTGTGATGTGGCATATTCCTCGGACCCTGGCACCTCACCGTTGGCACAGAACATGGCTGTGCAGTGAAGCACGTTGGGGCCTCCGACAAACATGGAACGACTGAAGTAGGAGCCAAGGTCCATCCCCTGGTCTGCAATATGTAATGTTTCCCACAATGAGCAGTTAATATGCTGTAACGTGCTATTCATGCAGTGTGAACAAAAGGCTTGCATTTTGAGTGCCTGGAAGATTGTAGCACTACTGCAATGTATTATGGAATATGTGCAGAGCTTTGTAAATTCCTCCGGAATCATGCACTTAATTGGTCAACATCCCATTGCAGGACATGTTACAATAGGTGAAGCTTCCCTGGGTAAATGGTATTGCATTTCATACTAAAGAAGTAACATTTTCAAGGAATTGCCAACCCGTGTGTGACTTGCCCCATGTTATGTACAAGACAATATAAACCCATTGAGGTGTCACCTCTACCGCACACGTTATCTGGTTTAACACTTAAATTACGTTAAACTATAAGTAGACTTGGAACTGCAAGTTTTCAGGAAAGCAGGGGAAATGCAGTCCTAAGAATTTGTATTTAAAACAAGTGTAAAAAGTAGATTTTAAGCTTTTGTGACTGCAGGGATTACTCTGGTTCTTTCGGTAAAGTCGCGTAAAAAGAAAAATGAAATAATAGAAGCTGTATTTATTTATTTTCTACGTGATGTTACCGAAAGAACCATAGAGTATGTGTAAAAAGATTAAAATAGTTTGAAGTGAACACAGGAAAGTGGTGGTGATGCAAAGCCATAATTGGAACATCCAATTCACTAGAACTGAAAAACCATAACTGCGTTGGTGTGTCTCAAACCTTGCTCATCCTGCCACTTCATGTACGGCTGGAATTCGGACGCAAACTCTGAAATGGTTGCGATCTTCAGCAGAAAGGCGTCCGAAATTTGGCACATCATCTGCACGCTGCCCTTGGTGAGGAACCAACCGAAATACAGCGGCACCAGCGCTTCCTGTCTCCACGAGGGCGACAACGGCAGAGATGGGTTGGAGCTGTTTACAATTGTATTGTGCGTGCGAGTGGCTGAATGAATTCAGTGCGTGACAATACGCAAGCATCTCGGCGAGAGCGATTACATGACTGGTACCACCCTCCCTTGCCCCACGCCACCCGAGGCCGAGAAGGCCTCTTTGCTCACCTGCAAACTGTGCCGCAGGGCCTCGATGGCCTGCACTCCCCAGCCCCAATGCGTCTTGCTCGCCAGGGTGCAGCAGTCGTCCCTCCACGGTGTGGTGGGACACACGATGAGGGTCAGGTAGCCGAAGGAGCGGGCGGTAGCGCCCAGTCGCAGCACGCTCCTCGCTACGTGGTTCGTGCCATCCACAATCACCGCGTCCACGCCCGCCGCGCACTTCTTTCGAATCTTTTGACGCAGTCTGCTCGTGGGCATTGATGGCGAGTGCAAGTATGAATTAATTAAACTACAATAACCCGCCCACATTCGTCATTCGCGCCGCCTTTGAATACAAATAAAGTCCCTTCTAAAATGTGTGAATGTAGCACTTCTAGTGACAGCATGGATAACATTAAACAAACACGCATGAATAGTAAAATCTCTTCCTGGGGGGGGGGGGGGGGGAGGTTCACGACACGATACGGTGAACACGAGAATCAAGTTCCAATGCTTCATGCCCAAGTGCTTGTCAAAGCTAGCTACCACCCACACACCTGCTCACCTCTTCTGCGGATCCTTCGCCTCGTCCCCATCCGTCTCCTCCGTCACGTCGCCCTCGTCGTCGTGCTGGCGCGCGGCCTGAGCAGCAGTCAGGGCCGTCTCGTCGGCCAATACCACGGCCACCGAGGTCGCGCCGCCGTCCCCCGCGTCCAACGCCGCGGCTATGCGGGTGCACAGAGTCGACTTGCCGCTGCCCGGCAAGCCGCGCAGCACCACGAGCAGCCGGCAGTCCCGCGCCGTGGCCAGGGAGGGCCCCGCCAGCAGCAGCGGAGTTGGCGCTGGGCCCTCTCCTGGGTGGTACGGATCTCCTGGGTCGCCGCACGGGATTCCAGGAGGCGGATGGACTTCTCTGCTGGCCATGGATGCGTTCGTCCGCGACGCGGGGCTGAGGACTGAGGAGCAGAAACGATGGGGCCGGGTATTAAAGCAGGGGTTAATTTCTCACTGAATATTCCACGAATAATTTGTGATCGAGATCAATTCTTGCTCGAGTTGCCACCTTCCCCCCCCCCCCCTACACACACAGACTACATCTGGACATGTTTCTCAGTCTAGGTTTAAGGAAAGATAACCGGGGGGGGGGGGGGAAGAGAAAAACTCACAAAAAGTGGGTTAACGAAAATCCTCCAGATAAATTCTGCAATCTACAGCCGCTCTTGTCCGCCTCGCAGACCAAACCTACAGCACCTGGTATTCTCAGGCAGCCTCCCTTGCGAAGGATGAACCAGGCTCACAATTTGCTTAGCTTCTGGGCTCCAGTTTTAGAGATCGGATGTAGCTGACTTGTATTCGTTACATACGGATACTACGTGCAGGATACAGCAACATCGCACAACATATTTTCATGCACTCCCCTATGCTGCCCAAAACCCACTTGCTGTACTGCATCCTTATAGACGTCTCAAAAGTACCGAGATGGACGTGAAAATAATACATTTACCTAACAGGGATTTAAAGCACGCCTGTATAATGCTGGGCAATTTGTGGCGCATGGTAATTGCAGTTAACTTGCCCGCACAACCCAAGAGGAAGCTCTTTGGATCAACTTGCGATGTCATTTAACCTGTCAGGAACCATCAGGATTGAACACATCCCTTGCAAGGGAGAGGAACGAGGGTTGACTATCGTTTTGACAGCAATAGTTATTGATGGGGATAGTGGCTTGAGGCTAAAGAAACAGCATATTTCGATTTAAAGCTTTCGTGACTGCAGGGATTCATCTTCTTGGTTCTTTCGTTAAAGTCACGTAGAATGGAAATAATAAAATAATAAAAATAAAACATAATAAAATAATTCTCATTATTTAATGTTATATTTTTATTATATTATTTCCATTCTACGTGACTTTACCGAAAGAACCAAGAAGATGAAACAGCATATGTTAATAGGTCGGCGATGTCACCACATTCATTCACGCAATCACTTGTTAAATGAGACGGTGGCTATAACTCAACCTCCAACACTCAACCAGCAAAGCATTTTGACAATACCGTATCGATAACAATCACACCAAGGCTAATTCAGCAGATGGTAGGTGTCGCATTTCACATTATCGGTAAGCAGAGGACGGCTTGCCATGTCACACCCATTCGAGTTAAATGGAACACTTCCAACAACAAACAACGACCATTAGCACCACCAATTCACCCACCTACCCTATCACCACTTGGCCCCAATTCTGCAGCATAACGGTAAATTTTGGCCATTCAAAATAAGAAAAACTAAAACAGATCCGAGAGTGCGTGAGCAGTCTTAAACGTTTAATGTAGCTTAAGAACACAGATCTAGCTGGTTTGGTGACGAATTCGAGTCTAACAGTTGGAACATTAATGACTAACATGACCAACATGCCCCCCATGCCCCCCAACTCACAGCGATTATGAATAGGGGACCGAGTCAAGCACCCAACGTGGACCCGAACCCGCGGTGGGTTTCTGACTATGAGGCGAAATGCCCCGGAAACTGCCACGACGCCCATAAAAGCGCCGACTGCTGCCCCGGAAGTCCCAAACCTCACGCCCTGCCCCCTGCTGCTGCTGTTGCCACCGCCCCGGAACGTCGCCTCCGCTCTCGAGGCACGGCAAGTCGCGTCTCAGTCGTGTACTTCCCGTGCCCTCTCATTGGCCGTTCGCTATCACGTGTGCCGCCGTCTAAGCCAATCGGAGCCGCGAGGGAGAAACCCCCCACCTAAGATGGCCTCTCGTCGGAGACCCACCCAAGATGGCCGCCCGTCTCACGTGGCCACACGAACAAGTAAAGTGGAACACACATTATTCTTTGGTTTTTTCGGTAAAGTCACGTATAAAAATAAAATAATAAATTAATATACGTGACTTTACCGAAAAAAACAAAGAATAATTCCTGCAGTCACGAAAGCTCCAAAATTAAGATGGAACACACATTCTAGATTTGAAGCTTTCGTGACTGCAATGATTCATATTCTTAGGTTTTTTTCGGTAAAGTCACGTAGGTAAAAAAAAAACATTAAAAAATTAAACAAAAATCACGACGTTTCGGAGGCAACACAAGGCTCCGTCTTCAGGTGGCACCGTCACAGCCACGACAGCTGTATCAAGAATACGGGTAAACCGTATGGGTTGAGGGAGCTGGTAGGAACGTCGGGTTGCTCGGTCAATGGCCTGCAGGGTCAACGGCGGCGTGGTGTATTCCGCAAATATGCCCGACTGAGGGCGGGCACAAGCCGGCGTGAGTAGGTTAAACGTTGAGTTTTATAAGGGCACCACGGGGTGACCAGCCCCTCCCACCCAGCCCCTCCCCACCCAGCCCCATCCCTCCCACCCCCCATCCAGCCCCTCCCCACCCTCCCCACCCAGCCCCACCCCTCCCATTTTTGGATGCACGACGGACGGACGGACACAATAATCCCCTGTGGGCTTGTGGAACCAGGAGGTTCCTACCAGTAAAATCAGTTCCTATCCCATAACTGTCAACCCATTACAGTTTACCTGTATTCTTGTACGGGAAAATAGCGTTTTCAGGTACGATACGGCGTACATCCGTTTCAGTAGGGACATACGATTTTTTTGGTAATGTTTGTTCTCGCTTGCGATGGGACATTGTAGGATGAACGTTGAGGGCGCGGGGTGACCAATAATGTCTGAATTGGTCTGTAATAAGGTAGGGCACTGATAAGGGGTTGACAGGTATTGGGCCGTCCATAAATGACGTCACGCGATTTTGGACGATTTTTTACCCCCCCCCCCCCTCGTTACACGGCGTCACAAAAAGTCAAGACCACCCCCCCTCAAATGACGTCACAAAGCTCTGCCCGCCCCCCCAAATAAAACATGCTTCAAATCGCTTTAAACTATTGTCATTGTAGTGCGTATTTAATATGGCGCTGCACTCCGATGTTGTAGGAGAAAACATGTATTAAAAAGTAGATTTAATTAAGTAGAACGTGTTGTTTATATGTATTTAAAGTTGCGCATTTTGATGTCTCACATTTCTCAAACCCCCCCCCCCCCTCGTCACAAATGTCTGAACCCCCCCCCCTAGGTGGGTGACGTCATTTATGGACGGCCCCGATGTAAACCAGAGTTGATTAAAAAAAGATCTGTCCACTGCCAGTTCCTACCCGCCCTCACTTTAAAGTGCCAAACATTCACTTACGAGGGTGCTGCTGTCAGTGGGAGAGCTGTGATTCTCTGGGGAGGGATGCTGGATCGTTAACGTGGCGTTCACTTTCCGTGTTGTGTGCATCGTGTTCAGATCGTCGAATAGAAATGTTAAACAAATGCATTGGATGAGACTTGATCACATCAGCTCAAATCTAAATCGAAAATGGCCCACAGAGACGAATCTCAGCTATAACCACTTCAAGTACTGTTAAAGTGTAAACGATTTTGAAGCGACCTCTGGTTACACAGCAGAGGGCAGCATTTTACCACCCACTCTCCCACTACAGATTTTGTTTTACTTTCACAAAGTATGTACAGTATATATTTTTTGGTCAAAAAGCAACATGGCAATTTTGTTTGTCGCCAACAATCCTGTGCAGTTCGTCCACACTTGTTCATCACGCTGTAATAAGAGTTTGGATTGGTTCCCGTTGTCATGCTGTGTCACCCAAACCGGGTAATGTGCAGTTGATGTTTCAGCATGAGGGTTTGGCCAATACCAGTTGCATTGTATGTTCTTCTCCCCGACCCCCGAATTGTATGCCGATTGTGCTCGTGGTGGCATGCAATAGGCAGCATTTTCCTACCTCCCTGCTCATTCCATTTGAGTAAAGCTGATATTTTGAATTCTCAGAGCACGATTTCATTCTGATTTAAGCACAGAACCACATTTAACGTGATGTTTTTGCTCCCTCAAGTCATTGACGAGCAGGGCTGGGACGATCAACTCTCTTCGCTTGAAAAAATGAAACCATTGATGAACAGTTTAAATTACAGGCAGTTGCCTGGATTCGAAATAAAGATCTGCAACATTCCACCCAGCCACCTTCCAACGTGCGTTTTTTACAAAATGTTCACGCACTAAAAAAAACTGAACACCACACCACAAAGCTGTACGCACAGTCAAATTTATTCTGTTCAAATTGGTCCGCCTTTGCCGACTCGAGGAGACGCAGTACAAACAGTTAGCAAAGTGTACAAAAGCAGGCGGGGTCGTGGAAGCTCCGGCCGAAGGAAATCCGCGTGTGCGCGACGGACGCCGTGAAGCTCCAACAGCAGCGGCACGCTGGCGCCACATGAAGGGCGTGCGTTGCGATGCAACCGGGGCTCAAATCCAGCTGGGATCGGTGACCCAGAAAATGCTTCCCGCACCCGGCATGCCACATCCAGTATACCTTTCAATATGGCTGTTGGCTACTCATCACTTGCAACCAACTTCAGTCTTACCAGCAACCCGGGAAATATTTCCAGGCCTGGTAGACCACATCCATAATACCTCTCACTATGGCTGTGGCTATTAGTCACGTGCCACCTACTTCTGTCTTTTCCGTGACCCGGAACATATTTCCGCATCTGGCACACCACATCCAGTATACCACTCACAAAATCTGTGATTGCGAGTCACGTGTCACTTACTCGAGTCTTACCGGTGACCCAGGCAATATTCAGTGCAATATTAAGCCCTGGATACGACCGATCTCCACTCGGCTCCGACCGACTTAGTGGCAGCTAAAGAACGAGCGACGCCTTCCCGTGAGCGCAGAGACCCCGTGGTGGTGGTGGCGGCGCCCCAACATGGACACGCTGTACACACATGGGGGGTGTGATTTCAAGCCAGCGACACATCAGCAACGGATATTTTAGCAGTTACAAAAATAAAAATATCTGCTTTATACCTGATTGCAGCATCTCCAAAAGGCATCTGCAGACACTGTATTCCAGGCGAATAATGCATTATGATGAGAAAATTAAAAAGGTTCAATATAAGCGTCTTAACCTGTACAGGAATTTAATGCGGATTGCGTTGTAGCTTAATATGATTTTGTTTGATATAACAAAAATATACTGCCAGTAAAAATGTACTTTCTCAAACAATGACTTTCTCGTAAACCCACGTGTGAAGTGATTAGGTCACGAAAACCTAAAACCGTTGGTCGAATAATCTTGTCTGGTAAGTTTGACCGGTTGGATTTTTTATACTGCAAACTGAATGCTTGAAGGCTGCAATGAAAACCATTTTAAAATATTACATAAATATCATACAAATTCATAAATGGACACAATTACAGTTGCGTACATTCCATTTCATTAGAACACAAAAAAGAGAAATTGAGAAAAAAATACAAAAAAGACAACCGTCAATGTTTCCTGACAAACATTTTCATGCAGTCTGCTGTTCCAAACGATGTCCTTGTAGTGGACACTCATGGAATTAAGGAGCTCGTGGCGTGTGTGCTGAGCTGGTTCAGTTCAGCTTCACTATCCAGTCATTCTCTTCAAGCACATTTCTCCACAATTTTCTCCGTAAGTGCACTGTCTCCAGTCGCCGGTCCTCAATTCATGTCCAAGGTCTTGCTTGAGAGACCACTAAGCTAAAACTTTCCACATCATTAAAATCCCTTTTGCACCAAGGGTGAAATTCGCCTCAGTACGTTCCTACTTAAAAACAAATCAACCTTTCCTTCTCGCCAAGTGAAAACCCTGTATTTACTTTCATACGATTGTAACAGCCTGGCTGATGGTCAGCCTCTTCCAAGCATTCCTGTGCAATTTACAACTTTTTCAACCCTGTACGTTATTTGGCCAATTTTTATTCATGAATAACTCAACCTTTCTCTCCTTTTTTTTTCTTTGCACCAGCCCATTTCGAGACAAACAGAACATGCCGATAATGTCCGCCGTCGAGCAATCGTGCTCGTCCTCCGGAACCATCCGGTGAAACCCACGTTGTTTTATTCAAGATTTGCCGTTTCAAGATATCTGAACGTTCCAGCCGCAGAGTCACAGCAGCCAGACGAGGCCGGGGGGGGGGGGGGGGCTACCCCCCACTCCCAGTCCTTCATCAAAACGGCGGCGCAAGCGACGTCTGTCCCACGGGGACAGCCAAGCAAGGCGGAGACTCCAGACCGTCCAGGGCCCTCTTGCCGGGCTTCACGTCCTCGGCATCGCCGTCACCGGTATCCTCGCTTGCGGTGGTGATGCGCGTGTCCGACAGGTCGGCCGAGCCGCTGCCCTTGCAGACCACCGGCGCCGGCGACAGCTCCTCCGCGTTGTCCATGTTCTCGAGCATCTCTTGGATGAGCGGCGGCATGGAGCCTGGGATCTCCATCTTGAGCGTGATCACGCGTTCCGAACCTGCGAAAGGTGACAGCAGTGGTGAGGTGGGTGCTCACGTTTTCTATCATTGTGCTGCGTAATAATAGGTGAGAGGGTAAAATGCAGCGCTGAGATTTCTTGCTCAGGTCACTGCTGGCGGAAAGGGCCTCCATTAGAGGCCTACTCTTCCACGGTGGCCGGTATTTGGCTGCTATATACTTCCACACAATAAGCCACTTCATTGGGCTATCATTTGTGGCCAGGTCACTATTGAAAAAGAGCTATATAGCTCAGTGGACCTTACCGAGTAAAATAAAAATAGTTTAATTTTAGGTGGGAGAACCCACACTTAACCCCACTATACACAACCTGTCGATCGACTAACTGGCTGGACAAAGACAGGGAGAGGCTTGAAGAAACTTGCAGCATTGTTTCAACTGCCACACTGGGAGATGTAACCGGTGACCTCTGGACTGCACTAATAATTACACAATGGCAGCATCCCCCTGGGAGGATTCGGCCAATATTTCCCCAGGGTTGCAATACAAATATACACAGGTATAACAAATCATACTTGTACTTGGGGGAGCAATCGCTCGGGGTAGGGGGGGGGGACCAACATACACATGGGCACAGCCACAAGCCACAAACACTCTTGCCCATGAAACCACACAAGAGCAGGTAGAGTGGCACTTGGAGTGCCCCTGGTGGCCACGAACCTTTGGCGCTGATGCCACGGAGGTCGGTGATCTTCATGAGCATCTTGGGGAACATGTGCGGCTTGGTGGGCCGGCGTCGCCTCACGTACAACTTCAGCGTCTCGACCAGCGGCTCCTGCAGCCGCTCCACCTTGTGTGGGTCCTCCAGGTCCTGCCGGTCTGCGGAGCCACCCGACGAGCCACATTCTTGTTAGCGATCATACTACTGTACTGTTCAAAATAATCGATGCTTCGAGTTTCCTGGCTGGCTGCTGGCTGGGCTCCTCTCCACCCCAACAATAATAATTATATTATTAGTGGCTGCGGGCCGTTGCCTTCGAAGCTAGCTGGGTAGCTGACTTAAACGGGATTTTCCGTGTGGCAAATAAACTTTGGATTGGATTGAAACGGTGGAAGATGTTCGGAAGACATCGAATAGGTCGCGACACTGAATAGGTGAGTCATGAATATAGAAGACTGACTCGGTTCATTTAAAATTGCTTGTACTTTTACATTTATGATCCTATTAATGTAATAACTTTGCCAGAATATACCTTAAACCCTCGAGAATTTAAATGAAATCCTCACTATACATTATCTTGACGTTTTATTACAACATAAAAAGTAGATTACAGCACTTTTAGTGCTCCGAGTACAGGATTGTGAGAAGGGTATGAAAATGACAGCTGCATGTAATTTTTCGTTGCAGATCAACGGGTTCTCTCCTAACAATATTCATAATAATAAGTAGAAAGGTGCAGCCCAGTAATGGCCTGCTTATGTCACTCCTGGCAGAACGGTATTTTTGGCCTACTATTCCACACTGGCTAGATGTCTCCGAATAGATGGGGAGGACTCACCCTTAAACCCCCCACTTGCGTCCTCCGGTAGACTGTGGTGAACCCATTTACATTGCTGGGTAGACAGAAGTGGTGGAGGTCGAATCGGTGACATTTTGATAAAGGGTAAACCGTGGTGGCGTGGTGGTTAGCACACTGCACAATGAACCCGGCAAACCGAGTTTTATTCTCATCCAGTACTAACATCAGTGTCGACCGAACTCATTGGAGACCTTCTTTAGGTTTACTCAGCATTAAACGGCCACCTGGTGTGGTGTGTAAACACCAGCACTGGGAAGACAAAGGTGGCCGGGCTAGGTATAGGCCACACAAACCTCCCCCCCCCCCCCCACTCGTAAATGCCGCAACAATCTGTAGAAGCTACATGGGGGATCTACAGCATTGTCTTTTGTGTCTGTGTACAGCGCTTTGTAAAACAACGGCTGGATGGGGACCTCCCCACGCGGCGCTTGACTTGGCATTCCATGCCGCCATCTCTTTCCCAACTTCTTAGAATAACCTCGCTCAATTCACGAAATGTGTCCGGCTCATATCGATCGCAACTCAAGTCATGCCGTTACGCGGCTTGGCGCCCGGCACATTGGGCCTTGGGGCCTGCGCTCAACAAGCGCGATTAAAAACAAACAGTCGTCTCCCTCCCCCTGTCCCTTTCTTTTCCCCCGGTATGTTAGTTATCTTCTCCCCTTACCCGTTTCCCCTCCCCATATAAACCTTCATGTTCCCCGCACGTGGTCCCCATCTGGGTGGGGCCAGAGAGCCCCATCCCCCCCCCCCCCCTTTCATTGGACACCTGCCGCGTCGAATTCGGGCTTCTGTTCGCGGAGTTTCTATTTTGCACCGGGCTATCGTTAAGTGGTACTAACATTTTTATAAAGAGTCGTGTTTAACAGTGACCGACAACGGAGCCGCCAAGGCGAACACGACCGACCGACCTCCACAGATGAGGCAGATGGCGCTGAGCAGCCCGGCCTCCGCATCGTCCATCTCCAGCGGCAGCAGCTGGGCCGCGAAGGCGAACACGTAGTCGGTGAGCGGCCCGAAGCCCGCGTTGTGCATCTGCGTGCGGTTGAGCGTCAGCCCGTCCGAGAACGTCATTGTGTCCTGCTCCGGCGTGTAGCGACTGCAGATCCTCAAGATCTGGTGCGACAATCGGTGGGGAGAGAGGGGAGCAGCGATGTCACGTGAGCGTGTTGTTATTGCCGTGATCTATCGACTGCTGGATGAAGGCATCCTCCTCCCCCCCCCCCTTCCTCAGAACAATGTCGCCACCGCCATCCTTCACGCGACTGCGATGCCAAGATCCACCTGGCTTAGCAGTGGGGAACATCCTTGCCGAGGGATGACTAGGACTTTCAAATACCTTTGGCGGGCCACACAATAACAGATCATTCATAATCATCATCACCCATGATCAACCAACTGCTGGATGAGGGTCTTGGCCAGCCGTCACCAACTCTCTCTCATAATCCTGCAAAGTAATCATCCTCTTACAACCTGCAAATGAGCTGATTTCATCACTCCATCTCTGTGGTAGACGTCCGTACAGACGTGTTTCCTTCCTTTGGCTCCCACACCATCGTAAGTCTCGACCATCAACGATCATCCATTCTAACAAGGCGTCCTGCGTAAGCCCACTTACTTTTTTAACAGTCAATTATGATTCATCTCGGCGGTGGAGTGGTGCACAGTCGTCCGTGCACTGCATTATGAACTTGGCCACCTGGGCTCGATTCAAGGTCCCAATCGAGCTGAACCTAGCCACCACCCGAGTGAAATCAGAACCAGTCTCGGCTCCTCGCCTTGCCAACCCGCATGGCAAAGCACGGTCAAACAACCCCCGTGACCTACACAGCGTGGGGATGAACTCTTACAGCAGTGGATTGACAAAAAGGGCTGAAAACGATCGTTTGTTACATTAGTGTTCTTATTATGACGCCTCCAACATGCATACATGTTTTGATCTTCGCATGCAGCTCTTACTGTCTGGTTACAAGTGTAATTCTATGCACATATCGCTGCACATACAGTGGCATAATCGTCAAAACGCCCTTGGGCTGGATTTGGCCTCGCGCCCAGACAGAGTCACGGGGTGCAGCCGTGACTCGCCCTTAAATCTAAATCCCCCGAGTTTGTTTGGCACGGCACTTGAGTCTGTTTCAGCCTCGAAGACAGATAGACATTTGAGGATCATTTGTGAATGCCCACACCCTCCGAAACGCGGCACTCCATCAGCCCTTATTGATATGTGCCTCGCACAGTCCCAAAATGATACAGTGTTACTGCCAGCACGGCAGACCTTGTGTTTGTGATAAGCTTCAAGAGGCACTGCAGAGGCAAGATAAGGTTAATGGAATTCAATTTCAAGGGTGCATATAATCAATCAGTTATAATGATTTTTTTTGTGCAAAATTGGGGAACCGATATTGTTGAATCGATTGTGTATATTCAAAGAACGTGAAAATTGTTATTCATATATTTTAGAGCGTAACTGAACAATCATGCAACAATGTAAAAAGCAAAAACACCACGATGACAAAACAAAAGCACAATGTGCCCTAACTCTCTCGCAACAGCCCGGACACCCCATTATAAAGCAACTTTTCCAGGCTATCGCACAACTCATCTCACCGAGTGAGCCATCATGGAGCAGCTAAGCTCATCACTCCACACGCAGAGAATGGGCGACATCTCCCCAAATGAAGGTCGCGGGTAATCGATGGTGAGTGTAGGGGGTGGGGGTCAGTCGGTGGTGGTGGTGGTGGTGGGGGGTACTACTTGCGCCCCCCACCTTGCTGTCGGGCTTACGACTGGTCGCACACGGAACGACAATCGGCGCAAAGGGGGCGACATTATTCCAGGAGCAGGACGTAAAGGTCAAGCGGCGCCGAGTTGCGACGGAGTCACTCCCGCCACGCGCACTACGTACGACCGAGCGACGGACAGCAAAGAAGAACAAAGCAATCCGCACGGAGAGATGAAGCGGATACCGCCGCTGCAAATGCCGGGCAGTTTGGTCACAAGCGATTAACCAAACGGAGGAGGGCGACGGGCAGTAGCAAACGACGCAGCGTGAAAAGTGCAACACCAGAGGAGGTGCGTGCCAATCGGCGCGAGCTGCCGCGAGCCGCGCGACGCCTCACTTCGTGCGGGAATGGAATCAATCGCGTGACGAGCGAAACGGCTACTTGACGCGCCTCACTCCCAGCGCTTGACAAAACAGCGGCAAATAACACACGCAGCCATGCAGGACAACAGCCAGCTGGCTTCTCCTATTAAGAAGGCCTCAGCCTTAACAGTCTCTGTAAGCACGCATTATAGCACGGTCTTACCTACCCAATTAATTTGAGTTTTATGTTGGAATTTCCACAGTGCTGACTTGCAGACAGGGTGCTTTTGGAAATGACTAGCCGGCAGTGTTTGTTTAACAAGCCTGAGCCCTCCGGATGGGTCCAAAATGTATTTGTTTAAATAAAATACAGTACAGTACTGCGCAGATGATTTGCCGCGCGCCGAGGTACATGCGGATATGTTAAAACGGTCGGATAAATCCAAAATTCCTGCACCGGGTGTGGGCGGTTAAACCATCGGGGTGGATATTTGATGGTCGAATATGTGACGATTTTGGTCTGAAAAGTACCATGGGCTGATGAACTAACAATTTTATATATATTTATGTAGAGACAACCAGGTCTGCTTATTCATTCCATGATCGAAATGTATTTTTGTAAATTCTCAACAATCGCACGTTTCAACACACATTGTGAGAACAGCTTTCTCTACAAGGATGAAAGCGGGAGAGAGAGGTTAACGTGCATAACAATCGCGGAAAAAAATTCGTAAACCAAAAATGCTCTCCGCATCATGGTCCGTGGCCTTAACGGTGGCATGGACGCAGAAAAAAAAACCAATATCGCGCTTTTCTTTTGTTTTGTAGAGCCCGTGATGCATTGTTAGGCTGGTCAGAGAAAGCACACGAGGTTAAATCATCCCCACAGGGACTGAAATATGACTTCGAGTATCGGTCAATTGCGGTCACTTAATCTGTCTTTCTGGCAGGGCCTGACAGTTTAAAGGACAATCTTTTTCAACAAGCTGGCAAAAAAAATATTGCTCAAAAACATATGACCGTAAAAGAAGAACAGATACAGACTCACACACAACATTCTGTTAGCGGCATGGGCTGATGGAAATCTGACATTCAGTGATGGTGGGGAAATAGAATACACGGACAAGAGTTTGGAGTCGACGGCACCCAATTGTACGTTAATAAATGTGTCCTTTACGTGCGTCTGTTTACAATAAATAGAGACAACATGGTGCCACGATATAATTGCGCACGTCGAAACGCGGTCTGCGTAGAAACGCAACCATTTGTCATGCGACTTGGGTTGGACTGCCACGGAATTAATTACGTACATCGGCGAAATATTACATTTCCTGGCAATGGAAATATTCAGCAGTGATCGCAGCGTAACATATCAGCGAATGTGCTGCAAGTGTAAAAGAGACGACATTTACAACAAAAAAGTTAACCCTGTGGAATTGCATTTCACAATAAACCAGGCGCGTACAATACAATCACATCTTTTTTTTTTCCTCAGTTTTTTTTTTATCTTTTCCCCTCATGTTATCCAGATTGTGCTATGTCAGCGTCACATCACGAGGTGGAAGAATCCGTTCGGGGGGCAAGCAACCTTTCCACATCCTTTGCACATGAGAGTAACGTTCATCGCGACAATCATTAGTGATCGGGCTGAGACCATTAAACAAGTCGCTACACTTGAGGGCCCAGTTTAATCACAGGCGGCTGGCCTGGATCCGTGAGAAGTGGCGACGGCCTTCAGCCCGCAGTGGACTGCTGATGATGATGATGATGCCGAGTGTTCCACAACAATTCACGAGTGCAAAACGAGTGATTTTATTAAGCAGGTAAGCGAGTGACCGTTAACTTGAAAAGTAAGCGATCGTTGCGCCAGACATGGCGACGGCTTGGGGAGGCCCTCATCCAGCAGTGGACTGCTGATGATGATGATGCCAAGTGTTCCACAACAATTCACGAGAGCAAAACGAGTGATTTTATTAAGCAGGTAAGCGAGTGACCGTTAACTTGAGAAGTGAGCGATCGTTGCGCCAGACATGGCGACGGCTCGGGGAGGCCTTCATCCAGCAGTGGATAGAGATCTCAGGGCTCCTGACGATAACTCAGCAAGTGCGCTAACGCAAAGAGTCGTTGAGCGAGTGAACGAGCGAGGGGCAACCGGGGGCTCACCAGAATCTCCAGGCAGGCTGCCTTGAGCAGCGTGATCTGGTCGGCGATGGTCAGGCTGGGAAACCCCGGCAAGCGCTTGGCGAACTCCACGATCTTGACGATGCACTTGGTGGAGAGCTCGCTGAACTTGTCCCACAGGCCCAGGTCCAGCTGCACGCGGTGGTCCGCGCACGAGTTCTGCAGGGAGCAGCGGTGGCAAAGCGCGTTCGCGGGGAGCGCACACACAGACACACATCCGTTGAGACGACTCGTCGAGTCGGAATCGCTTCTTGCGCTCGTGACACTACACGCGCGTGCGATGGAAACGCGTTGGAATCGATCACTCATGATTTACACGTACGTGTGCAAGACGTGTGAAATTATTACGTTTAATTGGGAAAATTACCCGCGACAGTGCGAATAAGAGGAAACGAGAAGCTATTCTTGAATTATTCGTGCTAGGGAAGTTACATTGACTTCATCAGCATAGACACATTTAATTTGAGCGTGTAAAAATGTACGCAAAAATTAGCGCAAATGAAATGACAACATTGTACAAATGATCTGACAATGTTGCATTTTGGTTCCTGGAGTGAACAAAGCTGTACAATTTAAACAGAACAAGTGAGAAAAAACAAGAATCAATAAAAAAAATGAATACAAAATAAAATAATTCAATCTTGCCTTGAATTATGACCCCAAACCATGACAAGTCATTGAAGGGAATGGGAAGGTGAAGCATTATCCAGTCAGTTTGTACTATGGTATACCCAGATGTGCGAGCACATTTTTTCAAGGCCATGTTGTTGTCCAATTAATTACACGAGTACAACACAAGTAAAATCTGGTCGCCTTTTCCAATATGCGTAACGGCTCGTTGCTTCAAGTGATATCAAAATACGTAGCGATAAGAACAAAGGTGGCAGGGATCTTTTTTGTTGCGATTACAGTAGCAGGGAAAAAAAAATATCCGAATGCCTGCAATGCACTGCTGAAATCGCCACGCTTGGCCACCAAGAGGCAGTAGAGCACGCAAAGGAATCAAGATAATTAATGGGCGCAGTCTTTTAAAGCTTAAGCAACCTGACACCCCGCCCCCCCTTTCTCCATGTTCCTCCCACCTCGCCCCACACGAGTGGGAATTTTTGGGTTTTGTTTTCGTCTTCAAAATTTTTTTTTAAACCTCAAGCGCGAGTGCGGAGCCCAATTCTCAAGGGGGAGCGCGGCGGGGTCTGAAACGACGGCGTCACAAAGCCTTCAAAGTGCGGCTCTAAAAAGGAGGACTTCCGAGAATCCGACATTCGCCAAAACCCCAATCCAACACTCGCTAACCCCAAACAACCCCGCAGAGTGACCTTGTTTAACGAGGCGCGGGGGGGGGGATCTACAACAACTCAGGAGGGGGCAGCGGCGACAGAGCCCAATGTCTTGACTCTAAGAATTTAGAAAGGGAGGCTGAACCTTCAGTAGAGAGAGAGAGGGAGGATAGTTGGAGGGGGGGGGGGGGGCAGCCCCAACCAGACCCTACGGGGCTGTACCGTAAACCCATTACGTCGCTGCTCAAAAGGCCCCACAACCCTGGCCCTGTTTCTGGTGCCTGTTGGAGGACAATCTATTTTCCGTCTTCGTTAACAAAGCCCTTATTTTTCAGCGTGTGACTCTAACGGTTATTAACACGGCGGCGGCTGCGGCCACGCGGCCCCGCTCGCCCGTGGGCAGGCTAAAAGGGCCTTCCTCTCCGATGATGGATTGAGTGTTTCCTTGATGGATGACAGGGCCCATGTGTGCCCTTGGGCTGCCTGACCTCTGAACCGGCAGATCGCAGCTTATTTTCTACGCCGTACGGACACCCGGTAGCCGGCCCCATATGCGTTTCCCCACCATAATTTTTTTGAAATGACTTATTATTATTTTTCCAGAGAGGGCAAGAGAGAGAGCAGGGGGAAGGGGGGGTGCGCTTCAATCACTATCGTGCCCCCCCCCCCACCACCCCCATTCGGTCCAAGTTGAGAAAACGATGGTGACCGCTCGAATGGGCGCATCAGTCATTTCGTGAAAGCGTCTTAACGGTACCGTCGGGCGGGCATAAACAACAGCGACGCTAAGGTGGAACGAATGAGAAGGAAGAAATCTCAGAATGAGGGTCATCCATTTCTAGATATCCCACTAAAATTATAGGGAGAAATTACACAGCGTACAAGATTTTATTTCAAAGCCTCTGTCTACATATCTCTCACCAAATGCAATAATACACTTGGATCTTTTAACTACACTTAAATCTTTTAGCGCTCTCAACCATACACTTTGGCCAACATAGCTGATTAGATTGATTTCAACATTTAGTGGCAAGTAAGCGAAGGGGCATTGATATTTAATAGGAGTGTCTATAAATTGATCATCCTGTTTCAAGCGAGAAGTTCTGACTTGGTTATTCTGCATTTCACAAATTTAATAGGCAGACTTCATCCACGGCCGATGATTGTGTTTATGAATATGTACATCACTTCTGTCCCATGGAAAAATTACATTTATAATTTCTCACTTAAGAAAACAAATCCAACAAACAATGGACCCTTAACTGGAACCATAAATTTCATCCGATTGTTGGTGAAAATACACCCAACATGTTCTTCGTCAACAGCAACGGGGCAAAATCGCCATGGCGATGCGCCTTCAGCCAATTTTTGTCAGTGCGCGAATCTGGATCGCAGCATTCAACAAACCCGGCTGACCCTCTTCGCTTGTTCTAAAAATACGGTGCGGATCTTAATGTGCAAGTCAACACGAGACGTTAATATATGTATCATTGTGCCGTGCCTTCCTGCAGAAATCCACTCGCTTGTGTTGACGTTCCGTCGCCAGGGAGCTACATCCCGTTCTGTGTCTACTTTGCCTACTGCTGGTCGGTAACCTCGGTGCGTTCCGGTCAAGAGCGATACGTTCGCAGAGACGTTCAATTCGATTTCACTCTCGTTCTGTGGGGATGCACTGCTCTGCGACTGTGGTGATCCAGAACAGACCATACAACATCTTAACTATTTTTTATTTCACCAGGTAAGGCCCACTGAACTAGATATCTATTTTTCAGAAGCAACCTGGCTGCCACAAATGATAGCTCAACGAAGCGGCTGATCATGTGGAAATTTACAGCAGCCAAATAATCTAAACGCGCGATGTTGATTCTAAATGTAAAGGAAAAATCTGGAGGACCCGGAGAAAAATCCACGCGACCACGAGGAGAACACGCAAACTGAAAATATACAGCAGGCATCAGGGTTGGGATTAAACCCACGACCTCCTGTATACCAGGCGAGGTAGTTAACATCTAGCAATCCAAAAATACGAAGGGGACATTACAGCGACACACTCTGCTGCTCCTGACATGCTTATCTGGCTTGACCATCTGAATGTGAAATTGTAGTTGTCGTTCCTCTGCATCTCCATCAGTCATACGAAAGAAGAAGACCAAGGTTGTCTGCTGCCATGTGGCCATTTCGATCACGCGGCAGCAGACATTTTCGTGAAACCTCAAACAAAGGGATGATGGCGAAAAACAAACAAAGAGATGATGGCCGGTGGTCGAGACTAACAGCGGAGCGTCAGCGATGGAAGGCAACGTGCCCGAGAGGACTTCAGTAGGCGTATGGATTGACGAAATCAGCTAACGTGCAAGGTGCTTGATGGGATTGCTATTTCGCAGCATCGCGACAGACGGTGACCACTTGGCAAGATCGTCATCCATGGCTGATGTTAATGCAGTGAGTAAGGAGGGCATCGCACTGCAGACTACAAGGGAGAGACCACGTCTGCTGCCATGTAGCCCTCTGTCACATATTCACTGCTGGCCTAACGAGGTTCTTGGTTGGTGCCCTAGGATCCCTGGCCCTTCTTTTTCTTCTTTCGTATGCCAGGATGGAAAAGCAACAGTTTTTAAACACACTGCAATGGAATGCTGCGTTTTTATCCCAACCAATCCAAGGGGGCAGCAGTAGACGCTGAACGAATGGAAGCGACATCAGCAATTCGGCAATTCTTTGATCTTTCCACATTTGTGGAAGTATGGGTGCGCGCATCTCCCATGGTGTGCATGCCTTGCCCAGGGACGCTGGCACAGCTGCTCAAAAAGCATTCCCCTTGGTGCACGACGGCGGCGGTGAGCCCTCCCCTCCAGAGGCCGCGGCGGTCGCGGCGGACACACGCTCGTGCCAGGTCTAATGATTCAGATAACCGCACCCACACTCAGCCGTGCCCAAAGGGTACCTATGACCTACAGGGGACCGTTACACTTTTAACAAGCGATTAATTTTTTTACATGTGCGCATGACATTCTGGGGCTGCTAATTATTGCAATAACATTACAGGAGTTACACGCTCAACAAGGATCATTTTAGACACCGTCGCGAATGGCCAAGGCTAAAATAAGCTTCCTTTGGCGAGAGCCTCCTAAACGCGCGGTCGGCACGGTGCTGTTAGCATTTTGTTGGACCGTATGTCCACGGGCGTACGTGCGTATGTGTGTACGTATGTACGGGTGGCGAATTCCGAATCAGGAATGCACATTATCCAACTTAAAAATCATTCTTCACTGTTACTTTTTAAGGGCGAGTTTGAATGGGCGCGAGGCATCGACTGCGTGTGAACATTTTTACGATTTTCACAAAACGGGTGCCACATGGCTCAGGGATTTTCTGAGCTCATACCTGCAGCTCCAATGTGGTCACAAAGTAATCGACGCAAAGTAGACAAAGAAATGACAGTTATTATCAATCCACCAATGGATGAAAGCCTCTCCATATCATGTCAGTCACGGGTAGTTGTTAAGCATACTTCACCAAACTGGTTAGTGTGGACTGCATGGAATGGCAGGACTGGTTCTCATGTAATTTGTCACGGATGTTAGCTGTGGTGGAGAATCGAACTTTAGTCGCCAGATTCAGAGCTACGACTATACCGCCACTCCACTACAGGGAGACAAAGAGCGTGAAATGTCCTACTCACTCGCCTGCCTCCATGCCAAAAAAACCCTCACATCTTCTCATTATTCTGCAAATCGAAATAATGCTCACGCGTAGAGCCCCATTATCACACGACGCAGAATCCACTGGACTGCAACGTCCTGGAAATGGTCCCTCGTGTGGGGCATTGTTTTCATTCTTTTTTTAATCCTCTGTGCACAGAGGTGGCCTGGTGGCTCAGGAGGTCACAGCCATGGAGCCAGTACCGCTGAGAACCTGGATTAGAATATAGATTTCAACCACCTGTGATTAAAGCTGGCTTCTCGAGTGGAGTGAGTTGATGGACTCAAGCTGGTGTTGCCAAAAAAACCACACCAAGCACAATGTTATACTTGACGTTTCAAGTATAAATTCCTTCCCCGACCTGTTTAAATTCATTCCTTGATTTTGAGATATACTGTATCCATTTTCGGCACATGTGATCATCGAGCCCCACGTGAGTTGGTGTTTTATTTCTGTGTTACCTGCTGCCAGTGTTACTTGAATGGCGCATTACTTGAATGCCGTTTTCTTCAAGCGTCTTTGCTACTCATCGCCGGCAATGTTACGAGTTATGTGTGGGAACTTTTTTTCACCAGGGTTCCTCCGAGGGTCATTCATGTCAAACAGCTTAAAGAATGTTTCTTTCCCCACGTAAATAATACAATTTATCCAATCGCCTAATTTGTCTAAATTGCAGCTCTGAGATTGAAAAATTGCGGTTTCATTACCAAGCAACAAACGTGTCTAGGAAGCAATGCGTGCATAACAGTGCTGAAGGGATTTCAGAAATAGTTTTCTGAAAGCTACTTTTACGGGCCCATTGTTCTCAAACACACGGAGTGATTGCAATGCTCTGTGATAGTTACGAATTGATGCTTCATCTCATGATACCGACAACACAATGGGAATATATACTCTTTAACTCTGCGTGCTGAATGCATGTCATGTTTCAAGGTGGGCTGGTGACCACAAGCCCACAGGCCTACATGGCTATATCACCTTTAGTATTAGATTCAGACTATTTCAGAATCAGAATATTTATTGATAATGGAGGGATCTGATGAGCCACAAAGCTCTTGGTCACGGATGTCCAGCAGGGTGCGGGTCAGAACGTGAACTCAAATCAAGTGACGCTGAAGAAGTTTCGCCTTCAAATGTCGTTTCTGTCGTATGTTGCATATTCGGTGACATGATGTGCCTCCCAAGTAGTACATCTGGAAGCACCAGATCTAAGTGTTGATTTGATAGAATTACTCATGAAGGAAATGTTTGCCGACCAAAAACAATACAATAGACATAATAATAATAACCTTGGCATTTATGTGTTGCCCAAATGCCTCAGGACATCTCCTTTCAAACATTTAAAGGGCAACCCAAGTGGCAGCTGTCTCTTTCTGGCACAAATCGACTCAGCCTCTGGCCTGCAAGTGGGCATGAGTCTGCCAGTAGGGGGGGTGGTGATGGTTGCCACGTGTATCGAGAAATTTGAGGGTAATCTTTCAAGTTTGAAACGTGGTGCCGGCGCGCAATCCATTCCTTGATAATTCATTCCCTGGATGTTTAATATCCACTGTGAAGCACGGAAGCTTGTGTTGCCTCCGAAACGTCGTGATTTTTATTTTATTTTAATTTTACTTTTATTAATTTAAATTTTTTACCTACGTGACTTTACCGAAAAAACCTAAGAATATGAATACTTGCAGTCACGAAAGCTTCAAATCTAGAAGCAGGTGGGTGTTTATTTTCCAGTCACTACACCCGCGGTGTTAACCAAGGGCAGCCTTTTTGAGCCGCGAAAGTGCAAGTGCTCTGGGCCACGTCACCGCATACGCAAAAAGAGCAGAATGACATTTCAAAGCTGAACCTCTTTAGTGTCACTTTGCTCGAGTTCGACATGTGTGCCCACATACCCTGCGCCCACCCGCCCGGCCGGCCGGCCCCCCAACTCACCGTGGTGTACTTGCCAAGCTGGCACAGCGACGGGAAAGTCTCCTGGTGAGATTTGCGGATCTTGTCGACCAGCTGCTCCTGCTCGCAGCTCAGCTCGTATCGCTCAGGCGGCACCTCGGGGCTGCGCACTGCCGCCACCACCACCGGCGCCTCCTTCCGCTTCTTGTTGCGGTCGTTCCTCACCGCTGCGTCATGCACGCGAGGCAGGGGGGGGGGGGGGCGGACGGCAATGAGAGCAAGATTCAGCACTAACAACCTTTGACCTCGACTTTAACGAGAGGCGAACGCTGTCTTACGTGTGCACGTGGGGAGCGGAGGCACGGTTGGTTGGCACAACCGCACTACAAACCCGGCGACCTGAAATCCATTTTCACGGCCAGCATCAGTAGCGAGGAATATCCGAAGCGGTCGCGGGGCCTCCCCTCGGTCAACTGGGCCTCAAGCGAGTACCTGGCGCGGCTTGTAAACGTCGGCAATGGAAAGACACAGGCGGTCGGGCGTGGTGCCGACCACCCAGCAACTCATGTGCCTTCATAGGTTGCTCGGTGTGTGCTGGTGGCTCCTTGTCGATCTGCGCTCCTCACTCACCCTCCTTGGACATGCCGACCTCGAAGCACTTCTGCAGGCGGCAGTACTGGCAACGGTTGCGAGTGTTCTTGTTGATGACACAGTTCTTGTCCCGGTGGCATGTGTACACCATGTTCTTCTGGATGCTCCGGCGGAAAAAGCCCTGAACAACAATAAATTGTTATTGTTGTATTGCGCTCGTTCACCCAATAAAGCGTCACCGAGTATCGCGATTCTCATTCAGGGAGGGCATGGTTGCCACATATCAACCCAATTGAGTAAATTGCAGATACCTATCAAATTTGAAACGTGATACGTACCTCGTACCGCAGTAATAACCAGGGCAGCTTGCCGGATTAGAACCGTGGAACCTCCGCAATAAGCGGCAAATGAGCTACCGCTAGGCCATGTCATCGCCCGATTACAACCACGACGACAACAACAAAGACGGCTTTGATTCCTGAAGCGTCTAAGCCAGATTACCAGGAAGGTGCCTAATCTTGTCAGATCTTGCAAGTTAAGCGGGGCTGAGCCCGTTTAAGTACCCGGATGGGCGACCGCCGTGCATAACAGGTCTCATAGGCTGTGTCCGTATACAATATGGGCTGCAGAGCTCAGGGCACAAACAACTGCGGTTGTGCTGTACCTCTACGCTCCCAGGTCTACGTTCCCCGACGTCATCAACCGGCACTGGCCAGAGTGGTGAAATATGGTTAAATAATCCTCACAACCTGGCACTGCGTGGGGGAGGCCCACATCCAGCAGTGGATCGAGAAAGGGATGTGTGTGTGTATAAAGCATGCAAATGCAATCGAGGGTCCCTGCAACTGGGACATTTGAGCACTGGTTAATTTATAAAGAGTGATTTGCATTTGGAAGGAAACCAGGAGTGCCCAGAATAAACAGAAACGGATAGCCACCACTCCTGAACAGCAGCATAATTCACACATTTAACATATTAGTGATGATCCTTCGTTTAACAGGGCAGTTGCGTTCTTGAAAAGTTCCACGTGAAGCAATAACCCGCGTTAAGCGAGGAATTACTGAGTTACTGAATCACAACTGTACAATAAACTCAGCCTGCAGTCTTCCCAAGAACCGAAATGAGGGTACGCCGCCGCTTTACCGTATCATTCTGCAAAGAGTATTGTACCGCTCAGCCGCGCAGCTCAAGAAAGTAGTTCGCTCAGAAACTGCGTTGTAACGGTGCGCGTTCCACGTTATAACGGGCATGTTCTGCATGATGTGAAAAGTATTCCCTAATAGAACAACCGCGTTCTGGCGAAAGCGCGTTAAGCGATGACTCACCGTACAAAAGCACTTCGTAAATCATATCGATGCATTTATTTTTTACGAACATTTATGGCAGCGCATAAGGTGAGGTTCAAAGTAAGCTTCGGTGTGACATGTCCCTACCCTGTATATGAACAAAAACACGTGCTCATGCATAACATAAGGGCGCATCTAATGGCTAGGGACGATGGTGACTGGCTGTGTGACTCATGCCGATTCTAATGAGGTTCTGGAAGTGCCGCGCAGGTGAAACCTGGCACAAATACAGTTAAAGCGATGCTTATCAATCAGAAAATCCCCACCCAAAAATTATTTTCTCAACTGTTACCCCAGGTAACGAATGAAGTTCAAGTTGATTTCGTCTAACCAAGTGATATAATTCAAGAGACGAGGGATAGAAAAGGATATAGTCTGATTTGCAAGGAGCGACCTGGGTCACCAACGATGGCTTGGATATCAATCACTTTCACTCGCAGGGCAGGTCCAGCCTAGGGTTCCAAATTTGCTTTAGAGTGTCGTGCCTACCACCGTCACCCGGCACACGACCCCAGTTAACCGTGAATCCGTGAAGCACGACGCCCAAGCTGGAATTGCAGGTGAAGCTTTACGGACTCGCTGGTGACTAAAATAACACTTTGTCAAACCACTCCTGGATTGTGTGTGTCCCCCCCCCCCCCCCACACCGTGTCAGTCATGGGGGTTATTTGATCATACTTCACCGTGCTGGCCAGAGCTATGGAGACAGGGAAAGTCCCAGGACTTGTTTCAGATACCACTGGATGTTAGCCATGGCAGGGGGGGGGGGGGCGGATCAAACTTGAATTGCTGCATTCACAGTGCAGTGCGCTAACCGCCACATCGCCGGTTACGAGTACAGTCCCTGCTAAATATACAGGGCGATCCATCTACAGACACCCCATTGCTATACCGGGAATGGTTTTCAAAGAAATCAACATTTCATCTCGACGACTCAATTGCACACGTCTCCCACCAATCTCAATACACCTCTTAAAATATGTAATGCTCCACCGTAAGATATGGAGCAGTTGCTGTTAAAATATTCAGTCACCTGTTGAGAATAAAGTAAAAGGGGGCATATTCGAAATCGGCGGGGCCGTGCCTTTGAATGAATCGCGCCGTTCATCTCTGTGCATTAACCTACGAAGGGCAACTATGAGAGAAGTGATTTAGCCGTTCAGTTGCTGCGTTTAAGAGTTTGTGATTTCAGATACAACCCACCCACTCGCCACCTTCATTCTTTATATTTTGGTCAGTGCAAAGTTACACGCTCACGTTGCTTGACAGTTCGCAGCCACGGTCACACACACACACAGGGAGAGAATCTTTGATATCCCCACTTGCGGATTACATACAGAACGTGCGTGAACAATTTGTAGCGATGGGAGAGCGCTCTCTCCCCCTGGTTCCCTGCACGTGCGGATAGGACACACGACACAACCCCCGGGGCTTCGCTGACCTGGTCACGCATATTAAGCCGAGGCCGCTGCACGGCTAATCGCTCTCACGTGAAACAAACACGACCGCAAGTCAGAAGCGACTGCGGCTGGACAAGGTCTGGGGCACGCGGGGAGTGAGCGTCAAGAGTTTCACTTATTGACAGGTCGCCCAGCTGCACGCAATTTGGCATTCGGAGCTTCAATGTGCACATCAGTTTTAAATACCCATCCCATATTTATGGTCTGGGCAGAGTGGGAAAAGTATAAGCAGACAAAAGTAAAAAAAATTAAACAAACAATAAAAACGCCATACAATATATACACATCCCCTTTGCCAATCCGTTTTATGAACGCCTTTCCATGACATGCAGGCCGTAGGGTTTATTTGACCATACTTCACCACACTGGTCGGTGCGGGGTGTGGGTTGCGTGCTGCGCTACGAACCCGACAACCAGAGTTTAATTCCCAGCCACATGCAATGTATTAGAACTGCAATAGGCAAAGTCATGAGGCGACAGACGCATTGTTTTTTGGAAGGCAGCATTGCTGTGTCATGGAACAAGCAACGTCTGGGTTATCAGGAGAAAACATCTTGAATTTCTGGAGTCATCCCCACGATTTTTCCAACTCGGCATTAAAAATGCAACGAGGCCTTGAAGGCGCAATTGAAAAGCTCCCCAGCCACATTTGCCACTGACGGGCCCACACTGCAGCGGTGATAGCGGCGCTGCGCTAAGTGTCATGACAGTTTGCCAGCATGGACCCCATCAGTGAATCTCGCTGGGCGCCAAACAAACTAACTCTGCAATTGCCCGTGGCTCCTAAACTCTTGGCTCTAAGTTAAAAAAAACATTCTCTGATAATATTTTTATACAACTCAAAAATTCAACAGAGTAGAAGGAATTTTGATTTAAAGCTTTCGTGACTGCAGGGATTCATATTCTTGGTTCTTTCGGTAAAGTCACATAGAAGGGAAACAATAAAATAATACAAATATAAAACAATAAAATTCTCACGAAGTTTCAATTGCAACACAAGCAATCATCACCGAAAGAACCAAGAATAAGAGTAGAAGACAATTCGATTAAAAAAAAGCTTGCATGCAGGTGGATTATTAGATTGCAGGATGGTGATATGTGGTGGTCGCTTGAGGAGGCCTTCATTCAACAGTGGTTTAACCCTGGCTGATGAGTGACCAATTAAGATTGATAAACTTTTGCTCGAGAGACCTGGAATCCTGTAGTTACAAAAGAGACATTATTTGTTTTCCCAGGTTCAGCTTCGTAATTATTTGTAATTTTTCGAACTTTCCCGATGACCTAGGCAACACAATCGCCAGCGCTTCTAACAGGTGCAGGGACTCGACAGCACGAATGGCTGGAGGAAGGAAGTTCCTAAATACGGTGGGGGAGGCAGCAGAGCGGAGAACGGCATCCAAGAAATGACAAATGCCTCCCTCCCTCCCCCAACAACCCTGCCTCTCTAACGCACACAAGTTCACGGCGGCTTCCCATCGCAGCGGCCGACGAGCTGCTGAGCGCGCAGCCGCGCCGCCTTCACCTCTCCCGCACCAAGGAATGTTGCCGCAATATGTTTTAATAACCATAGTCTTTGCGCAGGGGTGCAAAGGACCCGCTGAAATATTAGCCGGTTAACCCCTTTAACTCCATGCTCAGCTCTGACTTGGCGGTTCATTAAAAATTCCGAGGGAGGTTTAAAAGGTTTAATCACGACCTGCCATGCCCATTAGCCAGGCACGAGCATTAACAGAGCGCAAGCTCGCAGCCATAATCATTAGCGTAATGTTGTTACGGGCCAAATGGGTGTTCGTCGCTCATTCCGTTTCCATTTAATATGATAATCGGAAAGTGCACCATCTGCTGGCTAACGGCAAAGCCACCAACTTGTGTGCGCGAGGAGAAGCGGGGAGGGATAGATGCAGCGTCAGGATCTGAAAAGGTTGAAAAACAGAAATAGTTTGCCATTTATCATCATCACCATCCATTAACGGAGCAAACGATAAACAGTTAATGATCACCTAAATATGTATACAGTGTTTCAGATTCCATTTAGGTTAAGGGGTTCTATTTAACTTTTGATAAGACGGATTCCCGTATTAAAGTCCCGGGTCGTTGCCATAAAATGTAATTGCTCGACGCTCCCATATTGGGCCACGGGAATGAAGCCTTAATGTATCTTAATCGCCTGTCTCGGGGCCAAATGGTGCACCTAATATAAACGTATCGCGACGCGGACGATGATCGTACGGAGAACAAATTCCACAATATTTCTTCAACGCATCTCACCGTGAAAGCGGGAGACTCGAGAACGATTAACACCTCCGCGGAGCGTCGTTACGCCACACGGTGACTTAAAAAAAAAACGAGTCCACGTGATTTTCGGCAGCACAAA